GATCATATCTATAAATTGAAAAACCTCCCATATAATTCTCTGAATTGTCTATAAAACAACAAATTTCCTTTGTAATAGGAGAGTAATTAATTTGATATATTTTGGACAAGTCTTTTGGTATTTGAACCCCTAGGTAATTAATAATATTATACTCCCATTTAAAGTTGCATATTTCCTGTGTAAAGGTTTGTGGTGAATAATTATATGTGATAGTTTGTGTTTTTTGCAGGTTTAATTTATACCCTGAATAATTGTTATATAATAATAATAACCAAATTGTTTTAAGTGAGACATTAACTTAGGTAAACTAGAGTCTGGGTTGGTAAGAGTCAACACGACATTATCCGCATACAAACAAATTTTGTGTTCCATTTCATTTAATTGAACTCCTGTTATTTCTTTATCTTCTCTAATTGCTTGTGCAAGTGGCTCTATAAATAAAGCAAAAAGGGCGGGACTTAATGGACACCCTTGACGACATCCCCTTTCAAGTGTGACCGGCTTGGCGAGACTACCATTTATTTTAATCCTAGCTGTGGGAAATTGATATAAGCATTTCAAATATCTAATTACTGTTGTCGTTAAAACCAAAGCGCTGCATTACCAAGTACAAGTATTCCCATCTTACCGAGATGAATGCCGTTTCAGTGTCAAGGCTAAGAATAATAGAATTTACTTTACATTCGCTCATAACGCACGTCTAACATTATCGGTTGTCTGCCTATTTTTTAACAAATCCTGCTTGGTCTGTGTCGATTGAATCTGAAATAATGTTCTCCAGTCGTTTTGCTATTATCAATCAATCAATCAATTTTATTTATAAAGCCCAATATCACAAATCACAATTTGCCTCACAGGGCTTTACAGCATACGACATCCCTCTGTCCTTATGACCCTCACAGCTGATCAGGAAAAACTCCCCAAAAAACCCTTTAACGGGGGAAAAAAACGGTAGAAACCTCAGGAAGAGCAACTGAGGAGGGATCCCTCTTCCAGGACGGACAGACGTGCAATAGATGTCGTACAGAACAGATCAACATAATAAATTAACAGTAATCTGTATGACACAACGAGACAGAGAGAGAGACAGAGAGAGAGAGAGAGACAGAGAGAGAGAGAGAGAGAGAGAGAGAGAGAGAGAGAGAGAGAGAGAGAGAGAGAGAGAGAGAGAGGGGGAGAGAGAGAGAGAGAGCGAG